GACCAGTTAGTACTGTACGATCACCAGTTAGTACTGTGCAAACAGTTCAATTGTCTGTTCGTACTGTACGATGTCCAGTTAGTACTGTACGAACAGTTCAATAAAAATACAGTATGATCACCAGTTATTACTGTACGAACAGTTCAGTTTTCCTGTTCGTACTGTATGATATCTAGTTAGTACTGTACGAAGAGTTCAATAAAAATGCAGTTCGCCCATGGCGAAGCATGGGACGGCCAAAATCGTCTATGTTGATCGTATAGTACGATCCAGCTCGTACAGTACGATTAAAATATCAAAATTAAGCCGTTTTGATTGACTAATCACACGATTAAATTAGGTAATATTTTAAACAGCTACAACACGAACATGTTCGTACAGCACGATCATGTTCGTGCATTATGACTAGAACAAGTTTTCAAATTTAAATTTTTGCCTAATTTAATGGACGGAGGACTTTCTAATTATAACAGATCGTCCAGTACGATGTGGTGATCATACTGTACGATTAGTTATATTTTAAAAATATTTTTTTAGGAAAATAAAATATTTTAATTAATTTCTATTACACCAGATTATACAGTATGATCCAAATCGTATAGTACGATGTATAGAAAAATTAAAATATTTAAAATTATTTTTTGCTCCCCCTGTGTGTGTGCACGATCACAAATCTAACATACATCATTACAAGTCTTGATTCAAGAAATGAAAATTACAAACTCATTTAATATCACCAATTCTACACAATTTTGAGTCTTGAATATTCAAAGAACGGTATATGGTGTGCCTGAAATATTAGTTAACACACAAACAAATATGCTTTGCAAACACAAGAAGAAATAAAAGATTAATCAATATTATTTATTATCATCAAAATCATAAACTTTGAAGCCGAGTTTCAACAGCTATGACTCATGCCATGAAACATTTGAAGACTTGGGAGTTTCCAAAACATCATGCATGAGGGATAGACATTTGAAAGAGAGCTCCTATTGTTTAAAAAGAGTTTTAAACTCATTTTAAATAGGAATGATTGTTCCTGCAACATTATGGGATCTAGTATTAATTTTGGTATGATTTAATCGCCCTAAGAGTTTGTAAGGATGATTTACAAATTTAGGAATTTTATGAATTTAGAGAAATCGTCTCTTTTTTATGTTTTACTTTGCAAAGTGTTGTACATAAACTTAATCAGCAATGCTTTTTTGTGGAACTTGCTACATAGACCTTAGAAGGTCGATGAGGAGTCTCACAATTTAGTGCTTTTTAAGTTGATTAAATTTCTCTTCAAGCACTTGCAAAATTTCATGAAAGTTCCTGAGCTTCAATATATGCACATCCCTACACATTTAAATCATTTTTGGCTAGGAGAGATAAAGGCGACTGAAATGGAACGGTTTTGCTTTTTAAGCGCTCCGGATGCTGCCTTTGCCATTTAGATTGCTCCTGGATGTCACTTTGCTGCCACCTTGCTGAAATTGATGAACGAAGAAAAAAAAGAGTGCTCAACAAGTCTCTATGCTCTCCTAGAGGAATGAAGGTGGCACCAATAGCAGCAAATGCAAATAAAAGCTCCCCAAGTCGTTGTATAGCAGCTCCTAGGCGTGTGAAAGAGATCTCAAGGATGCATGACTCCTAGTTCTTCTAAACTGAAGCCCGTAGTTGCTTGGTTTTGCTTCTTTGGTCATTTGCCTCCCTCTGGACGTCGCAAGAATTGGCTCGTACCGTTGTTCTGGAGAAATCGATCATAGGAAATATGACTAAACACCCGGTCCTCCCTTGATCTCCTTGGCCGCATGTAGACGAGTGTTCGATTATGCTCTTTCCTCTCTAGCACGCACGTACGGGTCCTTTCTCATTGTCCACTCTCGCTTGGCTTCGATTCAGATGCACACGAACTGAGAGAACGAAAAGCTCTCATACCGCTCAATCTCTATCTCTCGCACGCAGAAAACACTTTCACTCGCCTCTCCCTCTCACACGCAGGAACCGAATACCACTCCCTCACTCGGTCTTGTGTATCAGAACCCAATATAAGATTCCACTTGATTGCCTGCTATGAGATCGCAGAAATCGGTGGATTTGATGGGAAGGCAACGACACAAGGAGAGTATTTCAAGATAATTAGAGCTGTTGGATTGAATTTCTTGATTTGGAAAGTCAAATGGGTTTAAATTGTGTCAATTAGGCTTGAATTGAGTTCAATTTGGATTGATTTGATTTAATTTAGGTTCAATTAAACTCGACTTGGGTTCAATTTGAGTCGATTTGGGTTTAGTTGAGTTGATTGAAGGTTGTAATTGGGTCCGATTTGACTCGATATGAGTCAGGTCAATACAAAAATTGTGTCAACATGTTTGAGGATTTTGACTTAGATTATACATCCAAAGATTTTTGAAGAAATATTTGTGAGAAGGTTATTTGTGAGGAAGAATTCAGTCAAATAATTTATACAACTTTTGAAATCTATTACTCTTGAGGATATTCTATTGATTAGATATGTGCCAATTAGGTTTCCTTTTCCCTAGTATTTTTATTGGCACTTAATATTCCGAAAAAGAAGAGTCTTGGTGATTTCCAAAAGATGATGATTTTTACTTGCTACCACTCTATTTTATTGGGGAGTGTTAAGATAAGAGAATTGGAAGATACATTTTTCTCGAAGAAAGATGATAATATGTAATTAAAATAATCACGAGCATTATTAGTATATCAGATTTTGATATTAGCATTGAATTATTAATTTTGTATCATAGTAGTAAAAATGGGTAAAATAATTATGTCATTAGATTTTTGTTTGATATGATATAATCAAGCCATTCAAGTGCAATTATCAATGAAAGTGACAAAACCAGTAGCCCAAGGAATATGGGGGATCTTGAAAGTTCCCCAAATATTAAAGCTAACAATTAGAAAGGAGTAATAGATCTAGACTCACTTTTAGAAATAATAACATAGTGATATTTGATAATTTCACAAGTATTATAATTAAAATTTTTCATATTTATATTCACATAAAGAGAAGGAAACATACATTGTAAATAGCTTCTATATTGATGGGTTTTTGAAAAGGGGGATGCCCTAGCCTTTATTGATGTTCATAAATAGCTTTTATATTAAGGGTGGAAATACAAGAATATGATAAGTGGTTTCTATCTTCAAGAAGATATAGTCCATTATTTTTTCTAGCTTTCCCAATCGTCTTCTCATAGTAATGTTCTAAAATATACAATGATTAACAAAAATCTTACCTTATAGTTGTATTCTTTAGTGATTTTATGGATTGATAGAATATTTACTTCAAGATGAGGAACATGTAGTATATTATTGAGGATAAATTTTGAGAATATTGAAAAATTTCTTTGACCTATAACAATTGTTAGAGAACCATCGATCACTTTTTTTATTACTAGGATAGGTAGGTTTTATATGTTTAAAAAAGGCTGATAAGGTTGGTTATGTAGTCAATGGCTCTTGAATCTAGGATCTAGGTGTGAGGGGAGTTATTTTATGTACTGAAAGCACAAGAGTTAGAAGTCATATCATTTTGAGCTAGAGAGCACGATTCAAATGATTTTTCAAATAGATGATGAAGCTCCTGAGTTTGTTAATTTCTTTTGGATTAAGCTCTTCTAATTCCACAATACAGTCTATCCTTTTTGGTGACCTTTTTTATTGTCACTTTAGTTTGGGGGCTTTCAGTGGAGTTTTTCCGCATTTTTCTTTAATGTATCCTTAATTATTACAATTATTGCACCATAAATTGATTTTGAAAGAAGGCTTTTGTTCATTTTAAAAAAAGAGTGGCAGTAAATCCCTTGGGATTCGATGATTATCATGGTAGATGTTTCAGTGATCAAAATGTCGAGGATTACCATCTTTCTTCATTCTTCGGCTTATATGAGAGAAAAAATATCATTTAATGATGATAGATTTCTCTACTTAAGATTTAAATATGAATTTTGTTAAAATCCTTATTGAGCCATACAAAGAACTCAGACAATCTTTCTCTTTCTATAAATTGCTTAAGAATTAGCACATTATCATAGCATGTCATCTTAAGATCTTGGTAATATTCTAGTTCAAGCCAATAAAACATTCATTGTATTAAAGTACTTGTTATCTTGTTTGATTTTTGAAATCCTAGTTTGATCTCATAGATGAGGACTTTATCCTTCATTTTTTAATATGTTTTGATGGTGTCCCAAACATTTTTTTTTTGTAATAGAGAGAAGCAAATGTAGACCATTGACTTTAGTATTATATTATTTTGCAACCATGCATGATCATGAAATTCACTTCATCCCAAACTATAAATTTTGAATCTTTTAATCTCGAGGAAGATGCACAAGATTATGAATATCTCCCTTTCATTTTAGAAATGTTTTCACAATTTAGGATAATTTTAGATAATTTCTCCCATTCAGGTGATACGAGATTTGTAACCCTTGAAATTTTTCTTTAGTCTGATTTGCACCATTCATGGTGGTCATCTCCTTGAAAGGAAAGTAAAAAAAAATCAGTTATAATTAAGAGAATGAAGAATCTAGACAAGAAGGGTGGAAGAGAAAAGAACAAAGGTTGGAAGTGAAAATCCTAACCTCTCTCTAAGATATCATGTAGAAAAGTGAGAAAAATTACATTGGATTTTATATTTGATTTTATAAATTGTGTGGAAGTATTTTATATTTCTCCCAAATACTTACAATGGAAATAAATCGAAGTTTTTTATAAAAAGAGCCAAATAAATCCCAAAGAGGAGCTGGTGACTAGAATAAAAAGAGGCACACAGATTGCAATCTAAGGGCTATAAGAGATAAAGAGGATTGATCCATCATTAGAATCCTTAATTAGTGTGCTCATGTATCTCTACCAAGATTGGTTGACTTATGAGTCCCATGATCCTTCAACAATACTTTTTTTTATGTAGAATTACTACATATAGATGTATTTTATGCCACTTTTTACTGTTTTTGTGATGAAATTGTTGCTATTAGGATGACGTCAGGAGGGAAGCCCAAACGATGAGCTTGATGGATCACCCAAATGTCGTGAAAGGATATTGTTCATTTGTTGTTGAACACACCCTTTGGGTTGTTATGCCATTCATGGCTGAGGGTTCATGTTTGCATCTGATGAAAGTTGCATATCCTAATGGGTTCGAAGAACATGTTATTGGGTCCATTCTCAAGGAAACTCTGAAAGCTTTGGAATACCTTCATAAGCATGGGAGTATTCATCGAGATGTCAAGGTTAGTTCATTAATAGAAGCAGTGTGGTCATAGGTAATGTTTTCCAGTGTTTGTGTTCTGAGGGAAACTTCTAAGTGCAGGCTGGAAATATCCTTCTTGATAGTTCTGGTGTTGTAAAGCTTAGTGATTTTGGCGTAACAGCTGGTATGTTTGACAAGGGTGATAGACAACGTTCAAGGAATACTTTCGTAGGTACACCATGTTGGTAAGCAGCTAATATGTTTTTCTGTTCTCATATTTTATTTTAGGTGGGTTGCTTTTGAGCAATTACGGCAAACTTTATTTTGATTTCTTTTGATAGGATGGCACCAGAAGTGATGCAGCCAGGAGGTGGATATGATTTCAAGTGAGTCTTTTCAATATTTAAAAGTCTAAAATTGACAAAATATTTCTGCTATATCATGCATTACTTCTCTCTGTTACCATTTCTCTGTATTATCGCTTGCCTCGTTGTGAGTTTTAGTCATTTGTATTTCTCACTGAACAGAGAAAAAAATATATTAGTCTTAATGACTGGTTAAAAACAAAACGTACACATTTAGTTGGCCTGGAGGTCCATAGTACCAGACTTGTCGAAACATCATCATCATCATCATTCTTTATCCAGACTAGTCATTTCAGCTATATGAATACTTTGCCATTCCTTCTTATTAAGTTCGGCATGTCTAATTTATGTAAATCTTTTTGCATAGGTTCTATTCACGTTACTTTTAATCCAGTTCCTATTTTACGCTTACTCAGTCTCCTATTTTTTTTAGTGTTTTTTTGCTCGTCTTTCTACAAGCTCAACCCACCTATTTTACTATTGATAACAGTATCTTTGAAAGTTGCTACTACGCTCTCTTTGAAGTGGACACTGCCCTTACTGAAGATGTCTAATTATAATTATTGGATTAAAAGAGTTATGTTTTATTTTTTATTTTTTCTTTTTAGATTGTTCTTATTTATAAATTTTTTGTTTAATATTTTTTATGTTTACTTATGTTTTTTCAAAATGTCAAACTTCTAATTTCAATTCATTTTATTTGGCTTTTTCACTTTTCCACCCCTCCCTTTAAATCTTGATTTCACTGCTGCTTGATGCCAGTTGTTATTTTTTATGAGACTTATATTTATTAAGAGGTTTTTTGAGATAAATTTTTGTAAATATTTAAATATGGAATAAAAATATATTTATTATCCAATAAATATTATTTTTGTATTTACTGAATATTGCATACGGCAGGACTAGCATCAATAGGTGACATCCGGGTTATTAAAAAAAAATGAAAACACCTAAAAAATACCTAGAAGTTATTTTGAATATTTTCAAACATAATTTAATTTATATTGAATAATAAAAACTAAAACAGTTAAAAAATACAATTCAAACATATTTTTTTTAAAAATATATAAAATGATCCAAAAATTTAAAGTATCTTTTGATTATCTGGGTAACATTTTGAGTGGAACATGGTTTTGAAGCATGTTTTCCTTTTTTTTTTTTTTTTGACAGAGCTGATATATGGTCATTTGGAATCACTGCACTTGAGTTAGCACATGGTCATGCTCCATTTTCAAAATACCCTCCAATGAAGGTAATTATTAGAATTATCATTGCTATCTTCTATTCCGTGGATGTGCTATATGAAGATTTCCTTACCAGCGGTTCACCCTTTTTTGAAAAAATGTATCTTGAAAATCTTTATGTGAAATATTTTGATGTACATTTGCAAGGAGGGGCAGACATCAGTCTTCTCCTTATGGGCTTGAGAAATTCTTTTTGGTTGAAACTTAAATTAGTTTTTCATCACAAATTGATAGTAGCTTCTACAAATTTTTTTTTTTTCCTTAAATTTATCCAACTCTTTTTGTTGCAAATAAAATAAAACTTTGAATGGTAAGCTGCATTATGAACTCATGAAAAATTTTCAATTCAAATTGAAAAAATTTCAAGTGCCGCTCTGCCCTCATATAGTTGTTTTTCCTCTAGCTGATTTTGAATCTAGTTTTGACAACTTTTTCGATGTTTTTCTCTATAGCTGCACCAAAGTTTCAATGAGATTTAAATTTCACAAAAAATAGTGTTAACTTGTTATCTATCATGCTTAGTAGGGTTGTCAATATTCGACACTATCCGAAAACTCGACCCGAAAATTCTTTGTCCGGGTCAACCCGTTTGAAAATCTGGTTTGGTTCGGGTTTTTTATTCTGACCTGATTGTATTTTTGAATCGGGTTATGGTCAACCTGAAAACCCGAAAATGACCTGGGTCAACACGAAAATATGCTTGTCCCATGTCCTATTTGCGTTGTCCCTTCGTCTGCGCTTGCGCATCAGGCTCGTGCATCGCGCTAGCGCATCGAGCTCGCCCGTTCGTGCATTGCAATCTCCTGTGCATTGAACTTGTGTTTAAATGAAGACATCTTTTTATGTTGTGATTAAAATTTTCAAAAGTTTTAGTTAGATCAACAAAAAACCAAACAAGTCATTAAACATTGGTTTAATAAGTGAGCGTGTTCTATTTGGAGCATTAACTTGAGCAACCAAACATTGATGTCTTCTATTATTCTAGGAATTTAAGTTGATGCATTGTCAGCTTAAAACAATCAGGAGGGTTCTTGTATTATGCTTAGTTTGAAATATTTAATGTCATCAAAATTTAGACAGCTGGGACTTCGATTCTATGCAAGTGAACCATTATTGCGTACAATTAGGTTTTGCTTCGCTCAGTATTAAATACAACACATCATGTTGTTCTGAAGTTCTAGTTGTTGATGGTCTGTGATAATGAAATACTTTCAACAAACTATAATCTCAGAATTGGATAATAATTGACGTGTTGTTAACCGTAATACAAAGTGAACATTCTGTGGGATTCTATTGATTGCATCAGTAAAGATTTTGGGTATTTTTTTGCTGTTACATTCATCTCAGGTTCTTTTGATGACCCTCCAAAATGCCCCTCCTGGACTTGATTACGACCGAGATAGAAAGTTTTCGAAGGTATTATGCTCTTTTTGGCTTTTATAATTGTTATTTTTACATCATGCTGTTGGTGAATCCTTTTAAGTTATGCGATCCGGCTTGGTTTCTAACTTGTATGATCAGTCATGCTGATTGTAAAACAAGATCTGGTAAAACTGCGGGTATCTTGATTATTGTTCTGATAAAGAATTTTCAGTGGTAACCAGTCTTTTAGAGAGATGGCTTCCATGTGCTTGGTTAAAGATCAAACAAAAAGGCCAACAGCTGAAAAATTATTGAAGCACCCATTTTTCAAGAATGCCAAGCCTCCGGAGTTATCTGTGAAAAGCCTTTTGACAGATCTGCCTCCGCTCTGGGATCGTGTGAAGGCGCTGGAGGTTTTTTGTCAATGATTTTTTATATAAGCTTTTTATTTCTTTTGAATTTGAAATTTTGTTGCCTTTTCTGAAACTTATGTTGTTTGCAGCTTAAAGATGCAGAGCAACTGGCTTTGAAGAAAATGGCTTCATCAGAACAGGAAGCATTATCCATGGTTCGGTCTAATTGATATGTTTGCTTAGTTGTTTTTTAAGTAATTTCTAACAGTATATTAACTTCATGCTTTTTTGAAGGCTTGTAGTAATGGAAATAGGACACTTTGATTCAAACTTGTATGCTACTATTCATGAGTTCTTACCTGTATTCACACCAAACTCTAGGGTTCAATCGCTTTAGAATACAAGTTACCAGTGAAACAAAAAAAAAAAAAAAAAGTTTTCTACTAGCTCTGCTTATATTATAAATTGAATTTTCTGTTATACAGCAGTGATCACTTAGACTTGTTAATTAATGATGAAATTTTTTTTCGGAACGACCTATAGTAGAACTAGTTTCTTAAATGTTTTTTTTTTTGTCAAATACAACTTTATAAATAAAAATTGATACAAGAGGAATAATTATCACGAATTGTGAGAGAAATAAGAAAAATACATAAGAAATAATAAATATAGGATGATACCCAAGGATCCATCCGAAAATGAAACCAACTTATTTAGACTACCTTGCTTGAGGATTGGTGAAAATAGTAGGTTGATGATAGAAAATTTTCTTATTTCGGCTCTATTTGATAAGCAGTATTTGAAAACACCTCTCGACCAGAGCATCATCACTTTGAATGCTCCCAATCAAACTCATGAAGATGATGTGGATTATGACATTGCTGTTTTCATGAATAAGAGGTAGATGAGAAACTTCAAAAATAAGAGGGTTAGTTTCATGATACTGTTTGAACATGATAAAGAGACCATATCTTTAAGGCTAGAAGGGGTAGGAACAATAAGCTCATAATCCAAAGGAAAGGCTATTGGTTTCAAATTTTGAGTGTTAAATGAACGGATGTAATAAGGGCAACAACCACTATGAGAGAAGGAAGAATTTGAACATTTGAATGTACCTTTGTGCATTTGATTTCTTTGGATCTGGATGAGCCTTGAATTATTCAGAGAAATTGTGCCCAATAATTTCACAAAAGAAGCAATAGGGGGGTTGCCTTCAAATTTTACGTCTTATAATATTCACAGGAGGATGAGCTAAACCGCACCTTTTTAAGCATAAAAGTTGCGCTCATTTACATCAAAACTTCCTTGAATGATCTAGAAAGACAGACAGAAGCACATTCGTAAAGGTTTACCAAATATAATCTCAAGGATTATAATACTGGTTAAAATAATGTAAATAGAGCCTAGGAAAAGCCACCCCATACAGAGGTGATAGGTGGTCTCTCGGAAGCATCAAAATGGGTTGACCACATTAGCGTACATATCGGATAGCCATTGGCATGGTAGGTTTATTGAGAGAAGAGTCTAGTATAATCTCCTTCTAATAAAGGCCTTATAATGATATGAAAAGCATCAATTAGTCGAACTGAAGATTAACAAGCCATGAGGAAATACAGTGACTTTGTGAATAACATTCATGTTAGGGCCGCCCAAGAAGAGTTTTCGTATAATGTTGAAGCTTGCTTATTGCTAACCTCTAATCACCTCAGTCTACTCGGGATCTCTTAGAGGAGGAAATCTATGACTGCTAATCAGATTCTCTAGACGCTACAATCAATTGTTTGTTAGCATTGGTAGATCGAGATTTATGTTATTCTCGAGATGGCGGAACAATAGAATCTTGATCAGGTCTATCTCCATCCCTTAACAAACGAGACTAAAACTTAAGCTTCCTAAGCTACACTAGAGTGATTCATCATTAATCGAAAGTTCTCTCTTACGTAGTAGTATGAGGGGTAATTAACTGTGAGGGCTTGTGCTCATAGGAAGTAAGGACCCAAATCTAAATAAACCCTGATACAATCTTCAGGAAAATCTGGTTAATTAAACTACAATCCACCTTAAGGAGAATGAAATCCTTAGTCTGCAAAGTAGGATTCATGCTGAAGCACCATATAAAATAAAATATGAAGCCAATTCAAACCATTAAATTAGCTCGAGTCTCCTGAGCTAAAAATAGCAAAGCAGACTATCGTGTCAAATTGGCCAAGAAAATGATAAACTTGAACAACGAGCCTGTGTTGATTACAGTCCACACTCGTCGAGTTTTAGAGTCAGTATTTTTACAATACCCGCATGTAGATAGGAGTGTCAATTTTTGACATGACCCGAACCCGACCCGGAAAAATCCGGGTTAGGGTTAACCCGGACCTTAAACCGGTCGGGTTCGGGTTCAACAAATCAACCCGTTTTAAAAATTGGGTCGGGTTCGGGTTGACCCAGCAACCCGAAATTGACCTGAAAATGACCCGAAAACTCCTATTTGACCCGGAAATCAGAGATTGACCCATTTTTTATCCGATTTTGACCCGGAAAATCGAATATTAACCCGATTTTGACCAAAAAACTAGCAATTTTAGGTCAACTTCGGGTCATTCGTGTCGGGTCCGGTTGATCCGGACCTGAATCGGGTCTGGTTCGGGTCCAGAAAACCTGGCCCGTTTTTAAAAACGGGTTCGGGTTGACCCGAATAGTGCCGGGTCAGTTCCGGGTTCGACCCGAACCCGTCCCGTTGACCCGAATTGACACCCTTTCATGTAGAGGAGTCATCGAATTCAAGCCAGCAGGATGTAACTTCGGTTGATCCTCAACCTCTCCAATAAATTCTTCTTGGGAACCAACCAAATAAATCTGAAGTGGTCAAAAGAAGTAAATCTAGTGGAGCCTCAGAGTCATAGTGACATTGCTTAGAGATCGAAGAATAAGATGATTGGAGGCAGCCTATCATTAACTATTTTAGAAAAAACAAACTCCCAATAGATAAATCATTAGCTGCGCAGATCATGAAGTGAGCGTTGCGATATACACTTATCAATAACATGTTGTATCAAAGAGCTTTTGACAAGATGTGGCTAAGGTGTTTAGGGATCAATGAGACTGATAAGGTGATAGTGGAAGTTCATGAAGGACTTTATGGTGCACATCAATCATATCCTAAAATGTCTGTTAAAATCAAAAGAATGGGTTATTCCTAGTCATCACTAATTAAAGATTGCATTAATCATGGTAAAAAGTGACATGGATGTCAAATCCATGGTTATGTTATATATCATCCGCCAAACTCGTTGCATCCTAGAATATCATCCTGACCATTTGAATGTTGGGGGATAGATATAATTGGCCTGATCGATCCACCGTCATCAGCTGGACACTGCTCATGTTGATAGTAACTGATTACTTTTTCTAAGAGGGTAGAAGCGACCTCGTTTAAGGAAGTCACCTCTGAGCGCATGATCAACTTCTTTACCCATGATGCCGTCTACAAATTTGGTGTACTCCATCTCATAATCTTAAACAACGGTTCAACTCTTAAAAGTACCAAGATTTATAGATTCGTTGATTGACATAAAATCAATTGACGTTATTTATCCATATATAATCCAATGACAAATGGCTTGGCGGAGACCTTCAGCAAAACACTGGTGAAGTTGGTTAAAAAGATCCTCACCAGAAATAAGAGAGTGACATGCCAAAATGATAGAAGCGTTATGGGCATATCGAACTACCTACAAAACACCAATCAAAGCCATGTAGAAGTTAAAAAGAGTACTTTGTAGGCACATATCATCATAAGTGCTTTATTTTTTTGAAAATTCTCTTGTAATACAAAAACATATTTGAAGTACATCATGAAAATCTCCTATAAGATAGTGGATATTTTAAATATTTATTTGAGCCAACATCATGCTTTGCACAGAGATCCCCAATAAATATTTAAAATAATGAAATATAAATTTCCTCTAAAAGTTTGACCCTCCTCCGCAAGATGGGAGCATTTTAAATATTTATTTGGGTTACTATCGTGCTTCTTATCGAGATCCCCAAATAAATATTTAAAATCATTCATGATGCTATCAATACCACTATATAAATGCAGGTCATAAGCTAATACCTTTAAGCAAACAAATATATGATTATTGTAAAAGTTGAAACTCTTCAAATTTGTTAAAGTCCTGAATTTTAATTGAGGAAACTTTTTAGTCTGATAGACTCAACAAATCAAGTTTAAAAAGCATGAACTGTTATAGTATAAGTCCAGTGCTCAAACAGGTATAATGTCAGACTCAACAAGCCCAAATGTGGCCTAATCACTGACGACTTTACCTACTCAATAAGTCACGATAAGAGGCCATAGAAGGAAATGCAGCCTCTATTTTTATCTAGCCTAATGACAAATACTATCAAGTTTGATATTTGTTCAACTTGATTAGTGAAAGAAGTTCCGACTCGGAGATTTTCTCAATTAACAAATGGATTGAGGCATAGTCAAGAAGACATATCTCATTCAACTCAAGGCACCAAGCTACAATCAATATTTCTATCAAATTAGAAGTTTTATTCCCTTCAGCAAGTCTACTAAGCGTAAAGCAAATATCGAAGGATCTTCTTTTCTTCAGCATGTTTGATAAAGCACAAACTTAGGACCAAAGAAGTCATCTCGCAATTCTTATAAAGCCTTAGGTTGAACTATGAGAATATTGTCATCATCAAAATCCATCATATATAAAGCTCTAGACTGATGACTATCTACCATCGATTAAAGAAAAACCTTAAAGGCTTGGTCACCGATATACATCCTTCACCAAGCCTGTAAAAGCATGAAGTTTTGGCAAAAGGCATATTCTACTCCTAACAAATCGAAAAGATAAATCTGGTAAAATTCTTCGTCAAACCTGAAAAGATTTGATGTTAGGGTTGAAAGAATATTCAAATCTTGACAAATCAAACAAAATAATTTAGGTACCCATTAAGGTTGAGGCTAGCAAGTACTCAGAACTGTAAAGGAAACATAGCTATTCAATCCAAAAATGCTTAAAAACATAAACATTAAGTGTTAAAAGCAGTAGAAAGAGAAGTTTCATAAACATCTAAAAATGAATACTGCTTTTAAGTTTTATTGATTGAAAATTGTATACAAGTTTGGAGTTATATCTTGCAAGCTTACACCAGTGTTGACCTCTAAGCTATAGCGAGGGAAGAAGAAACAAAAATATGCATATAAAAATATGGCTAAAATCATTACCTATCATGCCCATACCCATATCCTCCGCTGAATCCTGTCGAAAATCCTGTAAACGGCGTCGAACCATCCTTTCTTGCATCTCTTCTCCCAGAGAATGCGGACGGCCTTCGGCTCTTCTTAAACGAGCGAAATCCCACACACAGCTACTTCCATTTCCTACTTCCTTCTCCCGCAAACCTTACACTCAAAATACCGCAAGCCTTTCCTGTGCCCGATGCTTCCGACTGACGAAGCCAAGGACAACGCCGGCCGAGCCCCATCTCCTCTGCTTCCCTGCTCTTCTACCGACTCCAAGAAGCTGGCCGAAATCACTCATTCATCTCTTGAAAGTGCCGACCTATCCATCTTCTATTAGAATACCTTCTTCGACCCCCAGCCCTACCCGAGCCTTGCCCTCTCCTTCGACCCAGGAGTGCTGAGCTCTTCTTACCTGACCGAACTCCCTTGTACCGACCCCCTGCATCCACTAAGTCGGCCTTGTCTAACCCCTACTCTCCGATCTCCAAACTGACGCCAAAATCCCTCTCTTATGCTAATAGCCCGATCTCTCCACTCATAAGCATGATCCCTAGCTTAAACTGAGCTCCACTGAGTTGATTCGCCTCTACTCCACCCGCCAGCTTGCTTAATATCCCTTAGTTTATTAGGTATATATTTAATTTTATGTGTGTGTGCGCACGCCCGCGTTAGAGAGATAAAAAAAAGAAGAATATGCAAAAAAAAAAAAGAGAGATAAAAAAGGGGAGAAAAAGATAAGAGAGGTTTAAAAAAAAGAGAGGTAATTTGTGTTTTTTTATCCCATATGAAATCATTTTCAAGTAGAAACCCTTGCTCCTTCAACTTAACATTTTCCATGATCCTTCATTTCAAATTGGTTTCCTCTTATTTAATTTTGTAATCTAATCATAAAGAAAGTACTATTCACAAGCTAACAAGCCAATCCATGAGTTAAAGCAAGGCTAGAATCAAGTCAGGAGAAATGTCATTAGTCATTATGCATTTCATATTTACTAGTGTTGGAAAAGAAAATTTCTCCTCAGAATTAAGGGCAATGTGTTAATGTTTTATTTTCATATTGCTCGGCTTATTTTATTTGTTGGAAATTGTTAGCCAGTAAAGTGGGTATACGTATATAAGATGCAAAGGTCATGAGCTAATAGCTAACCACCCAAGCCATTTCAATTTGACTTCGGTGCAGAAATGACCCTCTATGCTCTTATTGCACTTTACGCTTTGAAAGCACTGTGTAAAAATATGGTAAAATTTTCATCTAAGTTATATTTCATGTAAAATTAGGTTACATTGTTTTTGGAACTTCATCTATTTTGTCTAATTTTCAACATAAAGTGTATAATATTCTATTGTCTCATGTGATTTATGGTGGGATGGATTTAAATTTCTTGAGTAATAGTAGCAATTAACATCCATAGCCATCTAAATAAGGACTTGGGATATTTGTTGAAATATTTACTCATAGTTTTCTAGATGTTCAAACGCTCAATTATTAATCTTTTTCATCAAGATTTGAAAAACACTTTTGACAGATTGAGTACCAGAAAGCAGTCAGCGCATGGAATTTTGATCTTGAAGATTTGAAGATCCAAGCATCACTGGTATTATTATAGATATTTACCTTTCCTTCTGATAAAGCTAAATGCTTTTTTTCCTTTTGATTCCTCTAAGACTTATTATTGCTTTTATTATTATTTTATGTTGTTGAATTATTTGTGATGCTAATGTCTTTTTCAAGAATTCTTTTAGATAGTTGATGATGAGAACATTGCTGATGCGAAGGAAGATGATAAAGGCTTGATGAATTTCATCAACAATGAGGTTTTGTTACCTTTTCTCTCGATTCCATACATTCTCAATGATAGCTATATGGTTGGTATATGCCGTTTATTATATATTGTCCTTGGGTTTTAACCCTTGGGCTGTCATTTCCTTTCATTTCTCTATTATAGCAAAATTGCTTCTGATATAAATTTGCATTTGTGTGAACAGGCGCCATCTAATGTTGGGTCTACTTCAGAAAAACTTTTCGCTGCTGACAAAAATTCAGATATGTAAGTACTCTATTTGTGCAACTTAAATTTTCATTTTGTAAATTCATTTTTTAAGCCTCTGAAGCTGCTGTTTTTCGTATTTGTAACTTCTTTCTCGTTTTAAAGCATTAAGGGCATGAAAATCTCCCAGTGTTATTCCTTTTACTTATTTTTCTTTTTTTTTTTCTATTGCTTGTGGAATACTGAGAGCTGATTTAAAGGTTCTCGTTCTTTTATATTTTTGACATTTATACGTTTCATCTGTTTCTGTTCTCATAATTTGAGTAGCGATAAATGCACTAAGATGAGTTATGCCTTGAGAGAACATCAGGAAGAACTATGAAGTGGAAATGGATGAGTTTCATAGCTGGAGGATGTCATCTTTGTCTTTTTATTATCCATAGATTTTAGGTGGAGAGGAAGAGAAGAGGAGGAGGAGGGGGAGAGGGAGGGATTTTTTTCTTAAGTTTTGATTCCTGTTTTCTTCCATAATAATGTGGGCTTCAAAATTTTGAGTTTTTGAGGCCCCAACCTCTTTGCGTATATTCAGGAAGAGTTTTAGCGAATTATGTTATGAGGAAAGTTTTCAGAAGACAAATTAGATAGAGATAAAACATTATTCAAGGATTTCGCCATCTTAGCGAGGATTTTATGATATGAGTGCTAAGTTTCTATAGGCGCAAACCTCTATAGTTAATTATCCTTAGCAGTAATGAGAGAGAACTTTCGATTAAGGCTAGATTTTATATAGACACTAAGCACCCGACATATAGTAGCAACATATTTATAATTTAAAATTAAAATTGATCACCTATCACTTAAAGCGGATGGGGGGGGGGGGGGATTGTAATAACTTCAATGTTGAAAATGTGTTAAAAAAATCTGAATTCCTGTTTGAACTACAGCATAGAGGCGCTGCACCTTTGAGCATCGAGGCGATGGGATCTGGAGTGCAGTGGCGTCCAGAATGGTCGCTAGGGCATTGAAGCCTCTATTCTACAGTAATTTTGGATTCAACATGTAGCGCTGCGGCGCTGGGTCTGAGCACTGTGTTGCGGGGTCATTAAAATCATTTATATATATGTTTTTTCTCCACTCACTCATCCTCCCTCACTCCACCGTTGGTTTTTCTGAGAAGGAAATGGGAGAGGGAGAAGAGGAAGGAGGAGAGAGGGGAAAATTCGATTTTAGTCGTCGGATTGCTTCACCCTTTTATGAAAATTGTTCCAATCAAGGTAGGTGACTTATTCCCTATTTTTGTTTTAAAAAAATTCAAGTTTGACAATTTGATTCTCTCTAGAATTGAATTTATTGCATTTTGTTTGGTTTTAACGAACTTTTATCGTACAATTTTTTTTACTAAGTATTACATGCATTTTTACTAGTTAATTTCTAAATTTCATCAGGTAGAATGAAAGATATTGTATTTTGTATGAAATTTTTTAAATAAAAATTTATATTTTATTACAAGCACATTGCTAAAATAGGCATTGTGAATGAATATTGATATGTGATTAGGTAAAGCTGGTCGTTATCACTTTTATTGTAATGTATGTAAAAAACAAGTAAAGATTGGTTGACCGTTGATTAAAGAATGATTGACCTGTATAGGATGGTGGGCCAATAGATTTTTCTTTAAATACTGTGATTGGGTGTATCATTTACTGATTCATGTGATACAATCATACAATGATTGTGAGTTATAAATAGTTATTACTGTCTCGACGAGCAAAGGGTGACAACTCTGTTTACTTAGCCAACGATTTACCAATATTGATATGATACTGAAAAACACTGTGATATCCAGGACTTCTTATTTGTTTAATGTGACTACTGAAATGCATATTACGAATTCATTGCTACTGTACGATTACTGTCATAACATTGATTTTTCTGTTATTATCATTGGATTTACTAGTACCAATACAGACACCAATACTATTATTGATACTACTATTGATTCACTATTATTATTAATGTTATTTATTCATTGTACTGATTACTGATACTGAGCACGTAATACCCTGAGCATGTGATTAAAATACTGATTTGATATTAATAAACTAATTGGATAGTATGTATACATCATTATAAGATTTTACTATATTGATATGAGTTTGACAGTTTTTAAACAGTTGCTTTTACTGATAGGACGACTGCTTTATTGATTCAACACTTGTACTGGTTTATTGATTTATCCACCTTACTGCTTTATTGACTTTCGTATCGTATTTTTTTACTATTTACAAATTCTACTGCTACTGCATGTGAGTTTTACTATTTTTGCATTAATTCTTAATCATATGACGGTTATTGTTATGAATTGACTGATGACATGTATATTGCTTCTCTACCATGCTTTGAATTTAGTGATAGGCTTTTAGTGACATGCTGGACTATTTAGATCATTATATGTAGTTTAAATAATTTCAAGTCAGGGCAGAGGATCATGTGTATGAGATTAATCAGATCAGGATTCTCCAAGTTTACTATTAGTTTATTTCTTTCTATCTTTTGGCTATTTTTTTACTTAGGACTAGTGATTGTAGATTGTACTTTATATGATTTCTAAGAATTGTATATGATTTTTGGGTCAATGAATTTGATGCATATAGATGTTTTGATCAATAAAATTTATTTCTATTCATATATGATTTTATTAATGATAAATGTAGTTAATAGCTCTGGTTGTAGTCTAATAAAAGATAAAAAAAAATTCTTCCAAATTAGATTTTAGGGCATGACAATAATGATGAACCTGATCAAAATCTCATGATTTTGTCATCCCTAGTCATCATGATCCCTATTCTACTTAATTAGAGGAGGTAGTTGACCCTACCTAACTGAAAAATTTTTGTTGGCTGCCATAAGTTGCTTCATATTAGGGTACCTTATAAACTTAGGGTGAATTTTTGCATAAGAGATGAATTCAAGTCAACCTTAACTTATAGAGGGCTTTGTGCCTTGTCGATTAGATCTTATGATTTATTACTCAATGACATTCGCATTTGAGAAGCATACAAGCCTTTTTCCATAACCGTAGTATAGTGGAGTCATTTGACGAAACCATTTGGTTAGAGGATCACGATAATAGCCATTCATCATATGGAGTTATTATTGCCAAGCCACATGTTCTTTTGGAGCCGTTTGGCCAAGCTACGGATTCTATTGAGTCGTTTGGCCAAACTGTTTGATTCATTCTAAATGCACCAAATTTTTTGGCAAATTCAATCCTTTTTAAATTATTCGGATCCGATGCTCTTTTTGCTAATTTTCACCATTATGCCGCTCCTTTATATAATTTACCTGATTCTAAATGGGTAGATTATATAGGATTTAAAATTGTTTTTTTTTTCTTTTTATTTTATATAAATATATATATTTATTATTAGAGGTATTTACATATATACCACTTTATTCCATGATATTTACATATCTAACACCCAAAACATTAATATTACTTATCTACCACTCATATACAACTTTAATATCAAATATATCACTCATATATTTCATTCCTATCACTCATACCACCTTATAAACTTAAATATTTCATTTCATGCACCCATATTTATTTTATTGGTGGTAGTCATGTAATATTAATGTTTTGGATGTTAGATATGTAAATAGTATGAAATAAAATGGTTTGTATGTAAATCTTCCTTATTATTATTATAAAATTAGTTTAAACAAAAAGACCCTCATATAGTTCCTCGTTATTCATACCTCAAGTAATTCTTATTGTTTCATGCCTGATTAATTTTGCCATTCGACTCGTGCACCAACCTAGACAATATCAATCTTTTTTAGTTATTTTTTACATTCTGGACGCGACGATTGCTAATGGACTTCGTTCTGGCGACGTCACACAATGTAGCATCCATAGACTGTCAATTTCGATCGCTTTCACTCGATTCGTTTACAAGAGGTCTTCCCTTAGGTAAATTTAAAGTCCCAAATATATCGGTTCGTGAAACATAGCATCCATAGACTGTCAATTTCGATTGCTTTCACTCGATTCATTTACAAGAGGTCTTCCTTTAGGTAAATTTAATGTCCCGAATATATCGGCGTAGTTCTTTTGACGAATGGAATTGGTTTGGGTAGTTTTGTTAAGTCTCATGCTCGCCAACCATTGTGCTCCTCATTATTTTTAATCGAGTTATACACAAGTGACTCTTCTTTGATGAATTCGACATCTTGAGTGCATTGGTGTCAATTTTGCAATCAGATGAAGTTTGAGGTGATTTTGTGCATTGTTGAGGCATTTCGATGTTCACTCTAAGTGACGTGTCGTTAGATGTCCATCAACAGTCGTTGTCACCCCCGTACTTGTATTGACTTTCAGATTATAGGTAGAGGTTAACAAATAAATCACTTTTAGTTCTCTTTATGGTGAAGAGAATCATTTGATTCCTATAACATGATGTGTCTTGAAGTCACATTGCATGTTTAAGTGTTATATAAATAATCGTGTTTTGTCAGCTCAACAAAGGGGAATTCAGATGACTTAGAATGATTAGAAGTTAGATTTGAGTTTGGGCTCCAAAAATTTGAGCCTAGCTATTTTAAGAAAGTTTTGTTTAGGGTTAAATTTTTAAAAGTTGGACTGCAGTGCAAATAAAATAGTACATTGAAATTATGCCCTCATTTAATGAGAGTTTAATGATTTTGTTTTAAGTTTTCTATATGCAAAAATCTCTTTGGTTAATTACTTTTTCCAATCACAAGAGAGAAATTTTAATTAATGTTAGTCAGTAGGCACTAATAGCACAACATATGATAGCAACAAATTCATTTTCTTTTAAAAAAAAGAAAGTTTACTACCTTTAATTTAATGTGTATTCTGGTGTTAACGATGAACCCAAGAAAGATCTCATAATTCATTACCCTGGGTTGTCATGAATTTTAGTATACTTAGTTTGAGTAGGTAATTTAAAACATGACTAAAGGATCATTATTGGCTACTATGCGTTTTGTCTCTAAGAGGACCTTGTAGAGTTAAGTGAATATTTGTCTAA